TATGGTTGGGGGCCTCCGTGGCCAGCCCTACGAGGAGAGGCTGAGGGACCTGAATCTCTTCAGTCTCCGCAAGAGCAGACCGAGGGGGGATCTTGTGGCTGCCTACAGCCTTATCAGGGGCCACCAGCAGGGACTCAGGGGAAGTCTGTTCACCAGGGCTCCCCTTGGAGTCACCAGGAGCAATGGCCACAAGCTGAGGGAGGAGAAGTTTAGGTTAGATATTAGGAAGAACGACTTCACGGTAAGGGTGGCCAGAGCCTGGAACAGGCTTCCCAGAGAGGTGGTGCTCTCACCTTCCCTGGACATCTTCAAGAGGAGACTGGACAGGCACCTGGCTGGGGTCTTATGACCCCTCCACCCCCAGTGCTCCTTCCTGCCCATGGTGGGGGGTCGGACTCAATGATCTGTCCAGGTCCCTCCTGACTCAGTGATTCTGTGATTGTATGAACTTGGGCTGGGGTCTCATTGTCCCTGGCAGCGTGGCCTGAGTGTCATCTTTTATATGTCTCAGAGAACCAGGTGTTTCCAGAGAGACAGGATGCCGGTCACCGAGATGCTCTGCTGACTCTGCTCCTTGATAAAAACCCTGCCTGGAGGCGCCCAACCAATATTGGTATGTGGTGGGGAGCAGGGGGGCAGGATGTACCCCTTCCAGCACCAGGGAGCTTGGGGTATTGGTGTATGATAGGCCTGGGCCTTAAGAGCTATTGGGTACCACCTGCTAAGTGAGCCTAGACAGGCCCGGATTGGGACCCTGCTGCCGTGCACCAGCTCTTCTGGGGCCTGCAAGTTTTTTGGGGCTGCTTTTCTTTTGCAAATCTGACTTCCAGCCATCTTCACAGCTCAACATTACATTGAATAGCTCCAGAAGGGTTTGCATTATCCTTCTATCTGGTACAACCACCCTGGCACTTGATAAGGAGCAGTAATGAGGGGTCCCTGCAGCCTGGTGGCTGCTGGAAGGAGGATTCTGCATTGTGCCGGGGGCCTGGACCAGTCCAGAGCAGCCCCAGGGGCAGTGGGAAGGGGGAGCCAGCTGTCTCCCCACCCCTTTGCTGCATCCCATGCTCTGTGCCCATAGCTTAGCATCTGGTCAGTGTGTTAAGAGTAGCACGATCGAAGAGCTGGGAGCCCAGAGAGGTTGTGCGCTGTAGTGGGGGGCCCACAACTGGACACAGGACTCCAGAGGTGGCCTCCCCAGTGCTGAATAGAGGGAAGAATCACTGCCCTCAATCTGCTGGCAACGCTCCTCCCAATGCAGCCCAGGATGCTGGTCGCCTTCTTGGCACCAAGGGCACACTGCTGGCTCCTGTTCAGCTTCTTGTCCCGTCCCCCCAGGTCCTTGTCTGCAGAGCTGCTGCCCAGCCCGTCACCCCCAGCCTGGACTGGTGCAATACTCCCTCCCTCCATAGCTGCTGGACCAGGGCAGAGGCACGGGAAAGCAGGACTGGGCTGCAGAGTGCTGCTCTAAGGACTCAGGGCCTTGCCAGGGATTTGGGCAGGTGTCAAGGTGTAGACCCAGCATTTCTCCTGTCACTGCACACAAGGACTGATCCCCAGGTAGATCCATGAAATAATGCTCTCTCTCTGAGGCCTGTGCACAGCCCAATGAAGGTGGGTGGACTCCACCTAACTGCAGTGGGTTTCAGGGCAGAAAGGAATTCATTTCAGAGGAATGTTTCCCATGAAAGCAGGAGCTTAGTTCCTGATGCCCCAGCACCCCCCCACCCCACCCTCTCAGTTTGCTATTCCTAGTTCACACCAGTCAGGCAACTGGTGTGGAGAGACACTAGGTGCTGGACATGCTGAAGGATGGGAAAGGCACCCAATGGGGATGAGCTCGTGGCTCATGCACTTCAGCCCTGGAGCTCTGTGTGCTTTCAGGGCACCCTGGACGGGAAGAGCAAGGCACAGCTGTGTGCAGGGCATGGCCAGGGCTACACCAAATGTGCACGGCACAGCTGGGAGTAGGGCCATGCACCGGCCTGTGCTGTCTTTTCCATCAGGCCCTGCCCAAATGCTGCTGTTTAAGCCTCCTGTTGCCCCATTCAGCCGGGCCTGGGAGCCATGCAGGTTGCTCCCCTTTGTGAATGCAGTCAGGTCCTCTAAGAGCATCATCCTGTTCCTTTATAAAGGCTGCACTGAGGCCCACTCCTGCAAGGTGCATGGGCACCTGGCTTCTGCTCGGAGCCAGGGGGAGTCTGGCACCGACAGGCCTTTGAGGACCGTGTTAGGGTCTGTGTATACAGCCTTGGTAGTGGGTAGCTGGAGCCAGACGCAGCCGAGTCCTTCTAGTACTTGGCCACAGGGGTGATGCATTCCCAGCAGAGAGAAGCAATGTTACAGGGCCAGAAGGTCACATCAGCAAAACCAGAGTGGTTGGCTGTACGAATGTCCACCAGGTCATGAGCACATCAACCCCGGCCCATCTGGACCTGTATTGGGTACCACGTAGAAGTTATGCAGGCAATGCAGCAGCTGTGCTGCTTTTCCAGTGCAACAAGGAGGACAGATTCTGTAGGTTTTCACAGAGAATTATAGCCTTCCTGCAGCCTATATTTTGAGGCCGCAAGTGGCAAATTGGCCTCATTTAGGTTTCTAATTCAAGCTTCTAATTTGGGTTCTGGCATTGACACGGCGTTTGTTATTCCTTCCAGACTCGGAGCTGGCGAAGAAATATGAGGAGCTTCAGCAGGTGAGAGAGGCACGTGTGGCGGGTGCAGAGATCCCACCTCAGGAACACAGCTGGGTATTCGTATCCCTCCGCTGTTTCCATTACGTGAGGCGGGCCAGTAGGGGGTGCTCCTGTGTTGAGCCACCCACCTCCCTGTGCCCGACCCCCTTCCAGGCTCCGA